CCTCAGCCTGCTTTAGGGGTATTTTATCGCGTGATATAGTTGGGTCCATCTTTTTTGGCTTATAGTGTATTATCGCATAATAAATTCCAAAAATTATATTAGGCCTTTACCAAGGAGCTGAGACGAAGATAAAATCTTGATTATTATTTTACTACGCCAGAGGAATTGATTGCTTTTATCGTCCCGTTTATCAGTTCGATTTTCATAGTAACTTTATTCACCTCATATGAAAGTTGATAAATAAGCTAATAATTAATTCTTTTGTTTTGTAATTTTCCTGTGGTTTGCTTTGTTTTTTTTTTTATCCTTATTCTGCCTTTTGTGTCTATCCTCAAGGTTGCTTCTAGTGCTGGAAGATACACCGATGTAATATCGATACATCGATGTTTTTGAATTCATTTCAAACATCGATGTTTTTTTGTGATGTTCGATGTTTCTCTCTATAACCATCACATAGGTAAGTGAAAATCTACGAGCATAATTTTAATATATAAATAAAGCGTACTAAATACAAATAATTAATTCTTTAGGTCATTGGAGTTGGCACAACTTGAAATCTTTAAGTCGCAGGCTTCTCTGTAGACTGTGTCAATGAAAATCTTTCATGTTATGTATATGTATTTATATGAATGTGTTTTTGAACGTAGATTCCAATAATTCGAATTATATTTTACTGAAATCGTGAATTCTTAAAAAATTGACAAATTGAAATTTAGAAGACTTTTAATAAAATTTCAGCAATATATGTAAATGGCTGAACTATTGAACTCATTTGATTTGCATGGCTGTGAAATTAAAGAGACTGATTGTGTGCATATCTGCGTTAATGAATTAAGCCAACATTTAAAAAATTCGGCATTTAAAAAGGCGGACGCATCGATACATCGATGTTGCTCCTACAAAAACATCGAAACATCGATGTACGTAAACATCGATGTTTTTTTTCAGTACTAGAAGCTTCTTTTCGGACCAAAGAAAGGCGAAGAAAATAAAGAGCAAAAAGTCTCCAACCGATTCGCACTATCGCATTTTGATCCCTATCCGATTCGGGCTGGCTTAATTCGAATCATGGCGAATTTATAAAGGGGGGTGTTGTAAAATCAGCTGATTTCTTCGCCTTACATATATTTTGTCGACCGCTGTGGTGTAGTGGTAAACAGTGCGCGATTCCACTCCGCAGCACCAGGGTTCANAAAGCAACATCGCAAAAAATATAGAAAAAAAGGTTTTTTCTTAACAGCGGTCGTCCCTTGGCAGGCAATGGCAAACCTCCGAGTGTATTTCTTCTATGTAAAACAGCTTCTCATAAAAATACAATCGCCGTTCGGAGTCGGCG